TTTTGTTTGTTTTTTGAGCCAGGGTTTCTCTATGTAGCTTTGGAGCCTATCCTGGAACTCCCTCTGTAAACCAGGATGGCTTCAAACACATTCATTTTTTTGTGTTTGCTTTTGTTTTCCTTTGGGTTTTTTTGTTTGTTTTTGTTTTTTTGAGACAGGGTTTCTCTGTGTAGCCCTGGCTTTCCTGAAACTCACTCTGTAGACCAGGCTGAATTTAAATTCACAGAGATCCACCTGCCTCTGACTCCCAAGAGCTGAGACTAAAAGTGTGCACCACCACCCAGCATTAGTAATTTTTAGTAATTTTTTTTAATTAAAAACAAAAACATCCTAGAGCCTTCATCCAGTAGCTGATGGAAGCAGAAGCAGAGATCCATAGCTCAGCATGAAGCTGAACTCCTGGAATCCAGTTGTAGAGATGGAAGAGTGATGAGCAAAGGGGTCAAGACCATGCTGGGGAAACCTACAGAAACAGCTGATCTGAGCAAGTCGGAGCTCATGGACCTCAGCCAGACAGCTGAGGAACCAGCATAGGCCGAAATCAGGCCTCCTGAATTTGGGTGATAGTTAGGAGGCCTGGGAAGTTTATGGGGCCTCTTGGAGTGGAACCAATATTTATTCCTAGTGTACAAATGGACTTTGGGGGCCCATTCCTCCATGGAAGCATACTCACTCAGCCTAAATACACGGGGGAGGGCCTAGGCCCCGCCCCAAATGGCTAGACAGACTTTGATGATCCCGCATGGAAGGCCTCACTCTCCCTGGAGGAGAGTGGATGGGGGTTGCTAATGGGAGGGAGAGGGAACTGTGATTAATATGTAAAATAAGATTGTTTCTAATTTAAATTTAAAAAAATAAAAGAAAACAGGATTATTGCACAAGGTCTCACCCCTCTCTGAGGATGTATAGGAAGTTAATACTTGCTGTGGGAAGGAGGAGATATTTTCTTTAGTGGTATAGCCACTGCTAAGTGGTAAGATGCCTATCCCTGTAAATAACCCCTCATGTTCCTGTAAGTAATGCTAATGAGTCAATAAAAAAACCAAAACATGAAAATGGGGCTGGAGAGATGGCTTAGTGGTTAAGAGAACTGGCAGTTCTTCAAGAAGACCTGGGTTCAATTCCCAGCACCTGCATGGTACATCACAACTATCTATAATTCTGATTCCAGGGGATCCAACATGCTCACACAGACATACATGCAGGCACAATACCAATGCACATGAAATAAAAAAAAATAAATTAATTTTTAAAAAGACATGAAAGACTGGTTGGAAAGGAGCAGGGATCAGCAGGAGTGGGAAAGAAGAAATGAGATGGTCATGGGGAGGATCTTAGGGCACTATATCCATGTGTGAAAGTGAGACCCACTACTATAATAATACATACTAATGTAAATATTTAAAAAGGATTCAGAAATAGGAATGAAGTTATCAGGAGGCCAAAAAGTAGAAGAAGAAATCATTTCAAATATTATGAAGAGTGAAGTTAAGCTCATCTCACTCTATGTCTGTATTAGTTTTGCTCATGATTTGGCAATTTCTGTTATTATTTATCAAAGGGAATAGAATTCTTTTACTTCTGTTCTATTCATTGGTGCTCCAATGATGAAAGTGAAGGTGTGTTTATCCTCAGCTAGTAAGGAGTTAGAAGTCTGTCTGGATGACATGAAAATCCCACCTCAAACTCCCCACCCCACCACCTCCAAAAGAAAGAAATATGGTGCCTTATTGTGCTGATTACATGGCTTTGTTTGTTTCTTCTTTTTTGTTTTTGTTTTTTTTTTTTTTTTTTTTTTTTTTTTTTTTTTTTTTTTTTTTGAGATTTTTTTTTTGTGTAGCTCTGACTGTCCTAGAACTCACTCTATAGACCAGACTAGCCTCCAATTTAGAGATCTGTTGGGATTAAAGGCTTGCACTACCACTACCCAGCATTATGTTTGTTTATAAATGAAACATTTCTAAAAGTGAGATGCACCAATACCTAATTTTATAGATGGTGGAGTAGAGGCTTAGTGAGTCTTAATGGTACATGTTTATGTTTTTTGTTTTTCTTTTTAGTAACAAGAGATAAAAAGATTGACTTGCAGAAAAAACAGACTCAAAGAAATGTGTTCAGATGTAATGTAATTGGAGTGAAAGGCTGTGGGAAAAGCGGAGTTCTTCAGGCTCTCCTTGGAAGAAACCTAATGGTGAGGATTGTCAGAATATAATTTCTTCTAACAAATGTTTATAATAATTTTACAGCCGGGTGGGTGGTGGTGGTGCATGCCTTTAATCCCAGCACTTGGGAGGCAGAGGCAGGCAAATCTCTGTGAGTTCGAGAACAGCCTGGTCCACAGGAGCTAGTTCCAGGACAGCCTCCAAAGCCACAGAGAAACCTGTCTCAACCCCCCCCCCAAAAAAAAAAGATAATAATAACTTTACAAAAGTTTTCATAGACATTATCCTTTTAGGTAATTATTAGAAGCCATTGGCCTACTTACATTAGTGCTATACACTAATAGGTATAAACAATAGGTACACCCAAGAGGCTAGTCTTAGATACATAGCTAGTTCCAGGCAAGTTTGAGCTACTTCGTGAGGTTCTGTTAAACAAACAAAGCAACAGTAATCCTATTGAAGTATGTATTTTGCTTTACTGGTTTTAGCTGTCTTTTAGAAAATTAGTATTTAGATAGGGATTAAATGACTGCACACATGAAAGCACCTGAGTGTGGCATAAAGTTCATGTATCAAATGAGTGCTGATACTTAGTTCTGACTATTCCCTTGGCTAAGAATACTGTTTACACCGAGCATTGGTGGCACACATCTTTAATCCCAGCACTGGGGAGGCAGAGGCAGAGGCAGGCGGATTTCTGTGAGTTCGAGGCCAGCCTGGTCTCCAGAGGGAGTGCCAGGATAGGCTCCAAAGCTACACAGAGAAACCCTGTCTCGAAAAACCAAA